GGAAGGAAGAAAGAAAGAAAGAAAGAAAGAAAGAAAGAAAGAAAGAAAGAAAGAAAGAAAGAAAGAAAGAAAGAAAGAAAGAAAGAAAGAAAGAAAGAAATTGCAGCCTTTTCCAGATAAAAAAAGAGGAAAACTGCAATATTAAAGGAGTGGGGGAGACAACAAAGAATATAGATTTGTGTGTATTTTTACATTCTTAGCGGCGGTGGTGTAATGTGCCATCAAGCGGCTTCTCACTTATTATTTATTTATTATTTATTTATTAGATTTATACCCCATCCATCTAGACCAATGGTCTACTCTGGGCGCCAGCAACCCTGTGAATCAGTGACCCTAATAAGTCGTGTCACCAATAGTCCTAGCCAGCTTTTTTACACTCCAGGCTGTGGCTTCCTTTACTGAGCTAATCCATCTCTCATCTGGCCCTTCTCATTTACTGCTGCATGATTAAATAAAGAGATGCAAATCTAGAAAGAATTGCCCTAAGTTAAATAAAAGTACACTGTATTTCAGCAAGACAGGGAAGATCTAATCCAATGACCTTGTTACATATCCACGGGTAACTCCATCGTCTCTGGTCTCCCTTCCTTTTAAGGTTCCTTCCATTAAGCCAGACAAACTTTGGGTGAAGACTCCTGGAAATCAATTGTGTGTGTGGGTGTGTGTGTGTGTGTGTGGCATTTGAGTGATAATGTTAGGAGCCGTCCATTTGGGAGCCTTCCAACCGAGGGTGAAAGAACTTGTGCCGTGGAATAAACGTTATGTGAACGATATTAAAGGTCAAAGGTTGGTTGTAGAACAGTGGAGATCAAAGGTAATACTGATCAGTCTTTTTTTTTTTTAGACACAGATGACTGTAAAAGGCACAAGCCTTGCTGTCAAGTTCTGGTAGTTCTGGTAGCATGAACTGATTAAAGGAGTGTTTCTTCCTATATTTATCCTTTACTGGAAAAACCAAAGTGGAAAAGCACCGCAGACTGCTTGAGACAGCATGATCAAAAAGTAAAAAAGGTAAATGTGGGTTTAAATCCATAAATGCAAAGGCCTGGACAAGACTGTGTGTTATATTGTCATGTGCTGTCAAGTTGGAACCGTAACAGGGATTTCAAGGTAATTTAGGTACATTTAAGGAGTGGTTTTACGAGTTCAGCACTCCCAGGGAGTTTCCATGACATAAGTAGAGATTCAAACCCAGGCCTCTTGAGTCCCAGTCCATTACTCTACCTTCACTAGTCCAGACTAGTCATTGTGCA